TTTTGGGAACATGTTTCACAAATGAAAAATCATTGCAAAAGCCATTTTTCGCTTCGATAGAATGTTTATATTTACTATACAAAAATAATCATAGTTGAAAAATGAAAATCAGTTACAAATCGGGTACCTGATTTTAACCTTGATTTATGTCAATTTTTGTAACAAACAATGTTTTTTACAAAAATTGACGTAAATCAGGCAGTAATCAGTTAGCAATCAGATTGAAACCAGGTACCCGATTTGTAACTGATCTTTTATTTTTGACTATTGCATGCGAAGTATAAAATAACTGCTGTATTTTGTGATCGATGATGATTGGTTGATAACCAGCCGTGCCGGCTAGGTTACTGAACGATCAGAAGAGAATATAAAATACAGCAGTTATTAATTACATAGTATACAATAACAGTTTTATTCAATGAAATAAGATCAATAATTTTAGCACATAAAAATACTATAAAATAATTGATTTTTTTTATAAACTTTACTTAGAAGCGAAGATTTTTATTATTTACTGTAGTATTAGTCATATTAACTATACGTAAGCTCTAAAAGCTGGAAACGGGCAACAAAAAAAAAAATATTGAGACGTTACGTGTAAGATCCAAACCTTAAGAACTTTATTTATGCCGCTTAACATGTTATTATAACAAAAAGCATTAGTAACTTCGGGTTAAGTAGTAGGTTGAAAATATGTACATGTGTATTATTGTTTCATTAATCATATAGGATAAAGATCGTAGTTGTTTCTCTAATAAAGGTCATTATAATAAATAAGATTAATTTTTTCAAGATAGTTTCGCTAATAATTTATTTCACGTAAATGGATTCGGGTTCTAATAATAAATATACATTTATCACACTTTATGCGTATCAATCTGTTTTCTAACTTCATGTGATAATCTTTAAGCGAAATTTTCTTTCATTTAATTATGTAATTTGATTAGTTAATTATCGCGGGAAATCACGGGCACCCTCGGAAAATCACGGGTAGACAGGCAAAAATTAACCAATCATATGTAGGGATATTAATCGGTCCCGCAGTCAGAAAATAAATTTCCGAAATCATGAATTTAGAAGAGCCCAATAACTTGTTTTTAATAAGTAACCCTTACTGAAAAGTGACTACGTATAATAAGTTTTTTTTAATAGCTCTTACAAAAAATTCGCAACAATGTTGTTGGGACCATTTCGACCGGACCGGACCTGGGACTGCGGTTCTAATACTGTACTTTAAGAAATTTTAAACTTTAAAGAAGTTTTTTCATTCTCTCCAATAAGTAACTCTGTTTTAAGAAATTTTAAACTTTAGAGAAGTTTATTCATTTCCCTCCAATAAGTAACACTAGTTAAAAAAAAAATTATAAACATACAGTCGACTCTGGATATACCGAACTGCATGTTCCGTTCAGTATAGAGTGGGTTTATTATATAGATTATTTTTTCTATACCGAACGTTCGGTATACAGAGCTAACCAATGAAGTAATGTGTAGGGCCAGTGAACCTTCGGAAATTCTCGAAAATTTTTGCTCCAGTTCGGAATATTCCGTAACGGGTATTATATAGAAACAAATAGTTCGTTATATCGAAATATGTGCACATAGTTCTGGCCTGGCAAAGAAGAGTTCGGATACGGTATTTAAAATTTTAATATATAAGTTCGGTATAGCCAGCCCAAATTCTTATAAAAAAAATCGGTTCTGCCAGATCTGGTTCGTTATAACTCGAGTTCGGTATAAGCAGGTTCGGTATATCCAAAGTCGACTGTATTTAATTAGTAACTCGTGTTGAAAAATTCGTCGACTGTATTTAATTAGTAACTTGTGTTGAAAAATTCATCTCTGAAACTAACAATTTCTTTGGGACTGATTAACATCCTTAATCAACATAAGCAGAAGTTGGTTTGATTGGCTGATGTAAATCAATTTCCCGGGTAACTTATTTATACACTTTAAAGTACTTTTTGAAAACGTTACGTTTCACCGATAAAAAGGCAAAAATTTTACATATATCGTTTTGTTTGAGTGCCTTTAAAAATAATCTAAAATTCAAGAGGTGTTGGCTTAGTAGTAACTTTTCTTAAATAGGTAAAGAAAAAAAATTTTGAAGGTAGTTTTGAAGTACTTTTTCAAAATAGAATGTCTTGTTACAGCACTAATAGAAATCGCCAAAGCTATTTTTAGTAAAATATTCAGGTTTAAAGCGCTAATAGAAATCGCTAAAGCTATTTTTAGTAAAATATTCGGGTTTAATGTTTAAGTTCGGTTCATTCTTCTATTATGTTTGGAATTGTTAACTGTAAAATTTTTGGTTTATATCGTATGTTGGAAATCTTCAATGATTTTGGGTTTATTAATAATAAATCTGACATTTGCCCCAATATACGTATATTTATCTATTCTCTAAATGTATGTATTAAATTCTTTTATGTGTATTTATTAGTTTGTAACTTCTCTATGTTTTTTTTTCGTTTTTATGTGTAGTAATATTAAACGATAAATTGTAATTTGATTGGTCAATAATCACGGAAAATTACGGATAGACCTATAAAAATTAACCAATCAGACAAACTTCTGTCTGTCTATGAATGATCATAGGAAGCATTCGTATGATTGGTTAATTTTTGTAGATCTACCCGTGATTTTCCATGACAATTAACCAATCAAAATACATAAATTTTAGACAATAAATATACGAAAAAAAGGTTTATTATTTATATTTAGAAAATAGATATATGCGCGTAAAGTGGGTAAATGTGGTATTTATTGTTAATAAACCAAGTTCATTACATATAAAATATAACCCAAAACCTTAATTATTAATTTACGGTTGACAAACCCAAACACAATACAATAACTAATCTTTAGCCCAGATTGGTGGTGTAACCCAAACTGTTTCGGCACCATTTAATACTTTCGGTATATTTTAATCGGGATTTTGGATTTTGCCAATATTTAAAAATTATGACATATTAGTCGTATGATGACAAAAATTTTCTTCGGAGTTAATGGCACTCAAATAGTGGAAAATATTATCGTTATTTGGGACGGCAAAATCCCAAACTATTTTCGGCAATTTGGATTCGGCATTTGACGAAACTATCGGGTTAGGGTTACACTATTAGCTCAGATATTTTACTACTAAAGAGCTTACACGTACACAAATTAACAGTTAGAAATAAAAGGTTTTTAAATCTAATGTAATAAAATAGTTTAGGTGAAAACGTTTCCAGATACCTTCAATATACAGTAGAATTTGGTCTGGTCCAATAAACGGTAGGAATATATTGTCTTCTAAGTAAAGTTCATGGGGATACTGATTATTGCTGATTATTTTTGCATAGTAAATATAGACGCTCTATCGAAGCGAAAATGATTTTGCGGTGGTTTTTTATTTGTGAAACGTTGTGTTCTCAAAAATTACTTTAAAGTATATAAATAAGTTACCCGGGCAATTGATTTACATCAGCCAATCACACGAATGTCCTATTTATGAATGATATGCCAATCAAGCTATATAGATCGACACGGACCACCCAACAAAAGAAAAGTTGCCGATAATCGATGTCGCGAATCAGATTAAAATGAAATAAGAGGTTTCTATTTGATACCTTAATCATAACCCTAATAAATGCCTTTTCAAAATATTTTATGCTACAGTTCAGTACAGCAAAAAACATCCAATATTTTATATATAATTTGTAAAAAATATTATACCTCAAAAACTTACAATATAATTAAAAATCTTTTCTAACAGATTTGTTACAATTTAATAATGTTACAATTCTATTAGAATATATTTTTATTTTTTCAACAATTTATAAAGTTATTTTAGTCTAAAGTTTATATGTGTTTCAAAATTTGGCGCTTTATATATATATATAATTTTGCTGTTTCAAACTGTATATCTCATTTAAATATTATACAAATGTTTATATTTTTAGCTTTCTAATATATGTTTGATTTTAAATAACTAAATGTTAATATAAATTTGATTTACATAATTGACATAGAGCTCCAATGTAACATATAAACAAAAGTTAATTTTGAGATAATATGATTATATAAAAGGTATGAATATATAAAACAAAGTTTATATAATTGGTTAATTAAACATAATAATAAAGTAATATAATGATTTTTATATAGATGCATAATGGTTAATAAATTTACAAATATGATTATCAGAGATAGATTCTAAGAAAAGAGATCAATTAACAAAAAGTAAGTTTTGCAAAACTTGATTTTTATATTATAAAATTCATATTAAATATTAAGAAAATATAAACTTTAACAGAATTTATTCTTTAAGTGAAAAATAATTTGAATTATTTAGACTCTAAATTTTTTTGAAAATTATTGAATTAGTCTTTTTTTTCAACATCAAACCCTTATTAAATTTTGATTATAATTAAAAGTAGGCATTTTAACAATCCTGTAAGTAAAATTTTATTAGTTAACCACTATGTCGACCTTAACCTATTTGATACTAGGGTGTGAACAATCATTCAACGTGACGAATAAACATTTATTATATAACATATATTTTAAATGATTATTCGCCATGCAGAATGATTGGTCACGCCCAGTGTCAAATGGGTTGAGATCGGCATAGTGATTAACGAATAAAATTTTACTGATTTTTCCTGTGCAGTACTCATTTTTAAGAATACAGAAAAAAGTTTTTTTTTTTTGTATAATAGTTTAAAGAATAAAATCTGATAAAAGATGAACATCAATAGAAGGTAAAATTATAAGAAAATATATATTAACAAACCTACATTTGCATCTGATACACGACTAGTGGTGCAGGAAATTTGGTTTAATTATGACAATATACTATTGACAGAAGATCTGTTTTGGATATAAAGTGCAATTGAGTCACCCACTACACTTGAGAAATATCGCCTGCGAGGCGGGCAATAATTGATTTATTCCACGGTTATTTTATTCTCTTTTATTTTAAAGCATCATATTTTATAAAGTTTAGTTTATTGATAATGAGTTTCTTTTTCTCTGGTTCGTTTTCATTGTTTTTTACCTGGCGACTTTCGTAAAGATATAAGAAACATTAAACAAAAAATAAGATATATATAATCAAAAAAGGAAATATAAAGATTTCGGATCAGTCCGAACTAAGATATAGGCAAGATAAATAGGAACCTTGGTATAAATAGTTAATCATCAGTTTTGCCAACTTTCATTACACGTAGCTTTATCACCTTTTTATCAGCTAAATCAGTTTCGTAACTATCTTTAGTTTTTGTTATCTAACGCTGAGTCTCGCGTTACATATTAACTTTGAAAATTTATTGATCTAAATCATGTAGGTGGGAAAAAAACAATCGTTAATTTAGAAAGGATCTCCAAAGTTAAATTGATTATCGTTATCATTCATCAGTTTAGTAAAGCAGATATGTATTTTACGTACTTGATATCGCCTTTTAACCCATCGTTATTGACCGCTGAATATATATATGTATATATATGCAAGTATCTTGTATTTTTCGTTCGCGAGTATAATTCTTAGACGAAATCTAGAGGTTTAGTAGTCCAGGCAAGAGATTAGAGATAACGATAGAGATATTAAATAAATAATCTTTGTTAAATGTTTATGCTACTAGATAAACGAAGCTTAATTAGTACATAACATGTAACGTTTGTAGTCAACCTAGATTTACTGATTAGTCAACTATACCAAGTGTAATATATAGATAGATAGAGATATATATATATATTCTGAATTTGTCAATACTCACGTTTTTTTATTTTAGATTATTTATCTAGTTAAAACTTAAAAAAAAATTAACTTTAATCTCTCAAACTGAAACATCCTTTTAACTTCAAACATTATATATATTATTGGCCATCTGAAAATGGTAGCATAATAATTTCGTTTTAAGCACTGATAATCAACTTAAAGTAGAAATATTTTTCATCGAAGCCACGATCAGAAATCAATCATTTTGACCAGTTTAGATATTCACTGTAAATACAGTTTTGACATTTTTTTGCATACATTCTCGTCATGCTGCATTTAAAAGAGTTGACTGTACATGCATTTACCATACTCCCTAAGAGGAATGCATTATTTAACATACCTAAGAGGTGCATTTGCCATACTTAAGGGGAAGGATTCTCGATAAGATCATAATGTACCGTTTTTTAACTTTAAACATCATTTCATACATTAAATGTTGCGGATGATGCCGAAATTTGTGCCTTTATTTGAATCTATAAATCCATTAAAAATCCACTTTAATAACCATTCTAACTTTAAATTCTAACTTAACCATTAAAAAAGGAAGTTCATAATAAACCATGTGATGCCAGTAGTCAATGAAGATCATTTATAATTCATTGATGGTCCAGACCCAAAGTTATAAATCGTTTATAATTCATAAGGTTCATGATTAACTAGACTTTGAATGTTCACACTCAATAAATTTGGAATACTTTGTAGAATTTGGATAATTAGATGTCCGTTTTTTCACTTGTTTTTTTTTTTCTATTTTCATTTATTGTTTTTGGCAGGTCAAAATGTTATGGGGAAGAATATGCTATCACATATGATTATGCTATTACAGATACCTGGCATAACATTTAAAACGAATTTACTGTTATTAATATACCAAATAAAAAACACACACTTATATATATAAATAAATATAGAAACATTTTAATTTATAAAGATTACCTATTTTCATTTTACAATACTTAACTAACGCATATAATAAGATCCGTTAAACTTGGTTTGTTTAACATCCAACTTGGATCAGAATATATACAACTTTACTTATTTAGAGTCAAAAAGATGAGCTTCCTTTAGAAAGAATTTTAATAAATAATAAAATCATATTGAACATACGTACGTACGTATGTATGTATCATTGAGTTGATAAACTTCAAGGGGGTGACGAATAGAATTAATAGGTTCAAACCGATAAATGATCGTCAAACCGATGTGTGTATTTTTCAAACCGGATTAAGGACTGCTTGCTTATCTAAGAAAGTTGTTTTTTTTCACATTATCAAGATCTCAACGTTATAAACTAGAGTTCAGGGGTTGCATTAAATGCGATATTTTTATTTACAAATCTAATACCTCTTTTGAAAAATCTAGATCTACTGGTGTTTTTGAGGTTAATAATAATGAAGCATATGTATATACGTATAATATATACACAGTATATTCAGTAGATTTGAGATGTTATTAATTATGCACAGGTAAATTTAAAATTTACTCAAGGCTTACGATACAATGTAAGTTCTTTTTCCAATCAAATTTAAATCATAAATTTGCATGTACAAAGTCACGTGAAGATATCTTAAGCTTAAAAAACAAGGATTTAGAACTGCAATCACCTATTGGTAAAATTAAACAATTCAAACATTGGTTTATTTGAACGATTTATTTACTAAAATAAACTTAAAACCAAGGGGAATTTAAGGGTCGCCTAATTTTGCAAAAAATGCAATGTAACAAGGTATTTTATAAAGATTTTACGATTAGTATTGAAGTGTATGAACGTATAAAAATATGAAGAAGATTAATAATAATGATAATGATTTATAATAATGGGTTATAATAATGGCTTATAATAATGGTTTATAATGATGATTTATAATAATGATTTATAATAATGGTTTTTTATATAATGATTTATACTGTATGATATGATTTATACTGTATAATATGATTTATACTGTATAATATGTTTCATACTGTATATAAGACATACAGTACGTGTACTCTAAATATACTTCATATACATCATATACTTTATATACTTTAGATACTTTATATACTCTTTATATACTTTAAATATACAAACGCCGCAAATTTATAGTCTACCCAAATTAATAGTATACAATAAGGGAAATAGTAAACAAGATATCACATTATATAAAAAGCATCAATCGCTGGTACTGAGTAAAAAATTCGCGTTTTTTTAATAGATTTTCATGATATTTGTGGTAATGCAAACCAAACTTCAATTATAGATGTACCTGATTGTAACTCTAACACGTACGTACAGTGACATGATACAACTAAACTTTCCAAAAAATCACACCAATAATTCAACGCCATCAAGAATATTGGAAGGATTCGTACATATCTTGCTAAATCGAGTTTAAAAATCTCATGAAAGCTTTGATATAAATTATTTTTTCCGCTTATCTTTATCTTTGAAATAGAAGAAAAATTATTGGTTCATTTCTCGTTTTTTATACATCACGGGTTCTAAAAGGTATCTAAAAGTGTATCATGCGCATTACATGCAAATTATACAGGTGTACATAATTAATTATATATTTTACGTAACAGTGAAATTTTTAACTTGAACAAAAAAAACTGATTGTTTACTATCAATTAAAGAAAATTATTTGTGCACACTTGCACCAACAGTTTCAAGTTATCGAAAGAATCTTTTTTTTTTTCATAAGTGTCACATCCTTAGATAAGATATTTACTCAGAGAATAGTCAGATTCTAAGAATATTATATCACACAAGAATTTATTTAAGAATATTCGATATCAAAATATCACAAGAATTTAAAAAGATTTGCCATTGTCATTATGCAATTTTGTTTATATTAAAAATCGCGTCACAATCTCATATACATAAAAAAAAAAAACTAAAAAAACGCGTTATTAAAATTAATACTGATTATTACCGAGGCCTTCTTTTGCTTATATTTATTTAGTTCCATAATTTTATGTTTTTATATTATACAAATTATACAAATTATACAAATGATATAAATCTTACAAATTTGGAAAATTTGGAAAATTTGATGTTTTTTTTATACAAGATTAGTAAACTTGATATAGGATTAGTAAACTTGACATAGGATTAGTAAAATTGATATAAGATTAGTAAAATTGATATAAGATTAGTAAAATTGATATAGGATTAGTAAACTTGATATAGGATTAGTAAAATTGATACAGGATTAGTAAAATCAGATAGAGCCAAAAAAAAAAATTATGTAATAAAGTAAGTATTATATGTATATATAGATCTTAATAACTGAAGGTTAAAGGGGGGTTTAACTTCCATATGACCTAAAACGTGCACAAATATGTACGGTTATGTAAATCTGGTATCATGTAGTAAAAATCTTGTACTCACATTATATAAAATACAATAGTTGGTGATATTTGATGATAATTAGTGTGAAACTTAAGGTTCGGTGTGATAACATAGGTGGTGTGACAAGTAATAAGTGTAATAAGTGTAATAAGTGTAATAAGTGTAATAAGTGTAATAAGTATAATAAGTGATGATTTAAAACAAGTATACCATTTTAAAGTAGATGCTACTTCTGTTGTATGTAATTGGTATGTACGTTCTTATGTATGTATGTACTGTACGTACGTACTTTATTTAATTTCAGGTATAATTAAGATCTTCAAAATTTATTAGGCGTTGACCCGTAGTATATTCTATAAGGTTATAAACCATACAAGATAAATTTAGTTATATTTGATTTAAACGCAGTATAAGATTTAATGATTATTGATTATACTAAAATAAATTGTATTTTTTATATATTTTATATATTCATATATTATTTTAAAAATCATGCGCGCCGTGCCTAATGCACCATCAGAAACAAAGTTATGTCAGAATCTAAAACCACTATATTTGAGGATAAATCGTACTTACGTGACTTTTTATCAAGATAAGTAGATCCATATTAAATCTAGTAATAGGTCTGATATCTTAAAAAAAAAGAAGACATCTAGAACATTTTTATTTTATTTTTTTGCGTTTCTTTAAAAGACAATACCTGTTTCTGAGAGAGCACCTGATCAATGCACAAACTGCAGTATATGCAGTAGATCGACTCTCTCTTGTTTTTTTAAACAACATACAATAGCAATGATCTCCAAGTCATTGTTGACACGTTATTCTTTTTTGCAATTTTACAGGTGAATATAATATATATATATATATATGAATAAGTATATGAAATATCTGTGAATATATATGAAAATATGTGAATATATCATGATAATATACAAAGATTGTAAAAAAGAATATACAGCAAATATTATCTTTATTTCATTGTGAAAAAAAAGTCAAGATCAATCTTTTTTTTTCCTAGAGCGAATAATCAAATTTGGAATTATTATGACACCTAATTTTAAAACTCAAAGTGCCACATTAAACTTTTTTATTAATTGAACTCGTGAATGTACATTATGTACATTGAACGGTTCATTATCCTGAGTTAAATAATAAACTAAATAGGAGGCGCGTAATTTCTTTGGCATTATTCGTGAAACGAAATAAAGAAAGAAAAAAAAAAGGATACCCCACACTTATTGATAAAGATGCATTTTGATACCATAGTCATTACAGGTTTACAACATCAGAATTTGTGAATGCAAATGATAAAAATAGAAGTTAAACAGGGAGAATAATAATGTCTTAAAACGAAAGATCAAAAAAAAAAATAGTAAAATGGCTATCTATGCACTTATCATGCAAGTACCAACCATTTTAAGAATAATACATTTTTAGGTTCTCTGGATCTGAATGGATGAATAAGTTGTGATTCAAATTGACACCGATTTTACTTATGGAACACCGATTTTACTTATGGATTTGGTGATAGTGGACCTAAATTATACTATGATTATTGATGCTGTGTAAAAGACTAATTAAGTCAGTACAACATGATAATCATACGCGTGAATCATCTGTTACAAAATATAACACGTAATATGCTATTAGTAAAGAAAAATTTTACACATACATCAGATAAAATTATTAGAAATGTATAGAAAAATTTGAAATGACAAAAACAATATCAAAAAAAAATAATAAGTATTGTTCTCTTTCGGGATAAGTCTTGCAAAGCGGAAAAACTCCAAAATCTTAAAGGAATCTTAAAAAGGGCTGTATGGATGAATTTAGATGAATTTAGATGAATTTAGATGAATGTATTCAATTTGTATTCAATTTGCATTCAATTTTGCATTCAATTTGCATTCATTTTGCATTCAGTTCGCATTCAGTTTGCATTCAGTTTGCATTCAGTTCGCGAATAAGATTTCAACTCCGGTAACGCCAAAAAGTTTTATATTTATGCATGGTTACATTAAATAAAATAATGAAACATAATGAAAATAAAATGAAATATAATGAAATATAATGAAAATATAATGAAATATAATGAAAATTATTGAAAATAAGGAAAGTAATCATAAAATAAGTTAGAATAAGTAACAGATTCCTAAAGTTTTCAAAAAAATCGGACCATCCCGCCTTTTTTTCTACAAGTTTTTTTCTACTAATTTGTTCTACAAGGTTCGGTTTCATATCCTTATTAAAAAATGCTTACACAAGGCATGATCAAATATATAATTAATTAATTTACGTATTATAATTTAATCGTTTATATTTTATTATTATAATTTAATCATTTATAATTTAATCATTTATAATTTAAATCGTTTGTACGTAATCAAATATATTCGGACATGTAAATTACGCAGTATCTAAAAAGCCCTTGTTCTAAACTTGTTAAACTTACTAAACTTATTAAACTTGCTAAACGTGTTAAACATTCATCCATACTCGTCTACACTCTTCTAAATAAATCTTTATATATGCTATAAATAAAAAATATTTCACTATTTTATGATTTATAGAGTTCTGAAACTTGATGAATTATATGAATTATTTAAATGTCACATCACAATATAAAGAAATTGACTCTTTGTTCGAATATTCGGTCACGTAATCATAGCATACATTCACCAAAAACTGTATATAGATATTTTGAATGTCAATCATCCTAATATAGTTAATAGAAAATAGTTTCGTTTTTTTAACGAAAGAGATATGATTAAATCAAGTTCAGGACTCTTAATCGAAAATAAGGGGCTTCTTTAAATAATTAATCTTTTTACGCGTACCCGCCCAAAAGTCATTCAAACCAAACTGCAAATGGTAGTAAATACTGCATTGGCTGACTATGGTTAATTACGGGTTTGGTTAAGATTAATTCATGAAAAAAAATTTTTTTGTTCCCTTCATATACACATTTGGTGATTAAGTATCATTTTTTAAGATAAATGATCCGAAAATAAATCATCGTTAGAATCTGATGAATTCTGGATTACCCGAATTTATTTATTATTATCGTGGCGTATCAGATTATTGATTAAATTTGTATAAACAAAGAAAAAAAATAAAATAAACAAAACCCCTTCTCATAATATAAATTACGCAGGTTTTATGATAATATTCTCGCGTTTTTTTTAGCATAAAAATGATTGGAGAAAATGATTAAAGAAAATGATTGGAGGTGAAAACTCTGTTAAAAAAAAAAAAAAAAACATTGATCATGAGATTTATGGCGTGAATGAACGCCTTCTTCGCTCGTGGGAGAAAAAATAACAAATGGTAAACAAACACGGAATTAGATTCACTTTTGAAAGTAAAAAAGAGTCCCAAAATTGACAAACAAAGAAGTAAAAGAAAGTAAGTCATTGACATTAATTAGTATACGTTGTGTGCGTGTACAATGATTACTATACGTTGTGTGCGTGTACAATGATTACTATGAGAATATTTGCATTTTGTACAATGAAACTACGTGTTTTTAATCGATACTGAATCGGATTATAGGGAGTAAAAGAATGGTAAATAAGCCATATGTGTACGTTCGTTAGTTATGTGTTGTGTAAAGATGTGTTGCAATTCCCATTTGGGATAATATATTTACGGAAGCGGACGTTTTATTCGTCCGTAATTATCAAATATTATTAAATATCATCATCATCATTTAAATATCATCAAATATCATCATTAAACATCATCAAAGTTTTGAAATATCACATTATCAAGACACGAACTAGAACCGAGAATTATGATCCAAAATTGGCAATTTTTATCTAGTGCTATTTGGTATTGTTTCTATTTAGTGTTGTTTCTAGAATCATTTCCTAGTAGAATTTTCTAAGTGTTAATTCCTAGTAGAATTTTCTAAGTGTCAATTCCTAGTAGAATTTTCTAAGTGTCAATTCCTAGTGGAATTTTCTAAGTGTCAATTCCTAGTGGAATTTTCTAAGTGTCTATTTCTAGTATTATTTTCTAAGTGTCAATTTTTAGTATTATTTTCTTAGTATTATTTTATAGTATTATTATTTTATAGTATTATTTTTTAGTATTATTATTTTATAGTATTATTTTATAGTATTATTTTCCAGTATTATTTTAAATATCATTCTCTAGTGTCATTTTCAGGCGATATTGTTAGTGCTATTTTTTTAATAAAAAATTTTTTTTTATAATTAAAAGATTGTACAATCAAATAAATGTAAAATGATATCAACTTTATATTTCTCGTGAAGCCTCGCCTAATGTTTGGTTTATCATTTTTTCAGATGCGTAAACATTACTATGTCATATAAGTTTTAAACATTAATTACATCAGTTTTATTTGTCCCTGCATAATAAATCTTTGATTGGTTTTTTTTTTTTTTTGTCATTATTAAAATTAATAAAGTTTATGAGGTCATATTTTTTAAGTGTTACTTTAACGTGCCTGATTTAAATTTTATTTGCCATTCTAAATTTAACTATATAACTAATTAAAATCATTTAAAATCATTTAAACTAGTAATTATTTTAATTATTTAAATTACCCATACAGATGTTTAATATTCTCATTTAATATATGTAACGTAAATATAGAAATATATAATAATTTAATGAATTAATTTATATTATTGAAATAGCCAATCGCGTGATTTCCTATCACCCCCTTATATTTATGATATTTATGATATTTATGCAGGGTTTTTCATTGTAAAATATTGCAGACGTTTTAATTAATGAGTGATACATAAGCTTGTGGCAGGTGGAGTGATCGCGATTTTGTATATTTTTTTATAGTTACCTGTAATCTTGAGTATAAAAAATGCAAAATGGATCATTTAAAAAGGTTATGACTAATCTGTATATAAATAGAAATCCAATTCCATGTTTGGTTAAAATAAATTGAAAATTTTATACCTATGCAGTAATCGATATTGAAGGGGGGGGATGATTAAAAATGACCATAGTTGACAATGGGGAAATTATTTTTTAATAATTTTTTTGTAACCTAAAAATTAGTACAAGATCGTTCATTTATAATTTTATAATTACATCCCCCCTGATTATGATGCCATTTTAATCAACTGTCATTATATGTTCAGACCGTCATACATTAAACACAATGCTTTATGCCATTGTCTATCGTAAATATTTTGATGATTAAAATTTATAGAAAGAATGTAAAATAAGTTCTTTAATATGCGGGGTTATACATATGTAATTACAACGTATCGTTTTCAGTAGAATAATTTGGATTAATTGAAGTATAATTTAGTATTTAATTTTAATATTCAATATTTAGTATCTAATATTTAATATTCAATATTTTAATATTCAATATTTAGTATTTAATATTTAGTATTTAATATTTAATATTTACTATTTAGTAGAATAATCTGGTAATAATTAATAGAAAATAAATAGTTTAGTAAAATAGGGCTTTGACCGTTAAAAAATTTTTTTATGTTAAATGCTAAGCAATGCCAATATCAAACTTTTATACTACCCGAAATTGCATATTTGGTGACAGGCAAATTTTAGCCAACTCGGCTAATTGCCGAATTAGTTGTTGGCATTAAAAATTAGTGCATTTATTCACGTAAACTTACTTTATGATTACTATATACTTACTGTATACTTATCTTTATGCTTGACGTACATTTGACTTATACTTAATGTACATTTTTATGTTTTTTAAATGATCTTTTTCGCCGTTATTAGAAATCAAGAGGATTTACAACAATTTAATAAAAGCAGCCGCTCGGCGGTTTTCGTTACTCATACCTTATTTAGTAAAGAAATTTGCCGAGTGGCATATTTTATTTTCAAATATAGTAATAATTGTAGATTTCTAAAGTACAACTTGAATATGTACAAAAAAAAAAAAACAGTTGAAAATTTACAGATAAACTAAAAAAACCCTGTATTTTTGAACTTGATTTGTCAAATAAGTTGAAGTTATTATATGAATGATTTTTAACTATAAACGATTATAAATGGCCATAAATGACAATAACAGTAGGTCAGTAGGTCAGTATGTCATACTGAATATACATCACGTACCTTAAAAAGGGTTTTTGATTAGAATTCTTTATGAACTATATGGATATAAATATTCCACGGATAAAGTTTACCTTTTTTAGTAAATATTAAAATAAGAGTGTCAATGCGGATAAAGTGCAGTAACCTCATAAAGTAAAATTCCTGTTTACCGTTACTTTGTCTTGATTAGAGTTAAAAAATTCCTTACGGGTACAGTTATTCATTTTTATCTATCACATGTTTCATTCCCATAGATCATTCCATAGATCATTCCACCATTTCATATATCGCTTCATAGTTCATAGTTCATAGTTCATTTGTAATTGTGTACTTTTTTCGGATAAAATCTTCTCCGATGTTGTACCTCACTCAGAACAAATTATATGAAATCATCACTATTCTTTATTCCTTTGGAAACCAATACTGCCGCCAAGAAAAAAAAATTTTACTCGAGAGTTCAAGTTTTATTATTCACTATTTACCTTTAAATTATTACTAGATTCAGCACATAAAGAAAAAACCTAATCGATAACATCGATTTGTTTTCGATGTCATACGATTTATTATCGATGATATACGATTCGTTATCGATTCGTTTGTATATCAATAATAAATGATGAGATTGAGTCATATTTCTCTTGGAAGCACACAAATAACATATGGCAGTGACATGAAAACTGATATGTGTATATGACGTGAAGACGCTTGCATCTATATTTAGAACTCAAAATTTCATCTTTATCGGATAAATATGTTATATACATAGAAATTTCTCTTATACTTTATTCCGATATATACGATATGTAGTGTTGTTAACAGTCGGCCAGTATTAACGAAAATTGTCCTAGTAATTTCAATGGTTTAGATGTTTCGTAGCCTTTTGCCCAAAATAATGTTGATTGCTGTACAGTGTCATCAAAAAAAAAATTTTTTTTTTTTGTTTAATGTTGTACATGCAACAAATGACCTGATTTAAATTTGTTAAATTTGGATTGTAAGTATACTTCAGATCCAAAATAAAGTTTTAATTCATTTAAATGATTTAGAATCGACCAATTTAAAGTTGATTCAGAATCCATTTTAGTGTTTCATATCTTAACTCCTGTAAAGAATTTTATGTCCAGTACCGATGATAAGTCAGGATAAGTGTTACAGAAATTTTCTTTTGAACGAATTCAAAAGGAAACACAAAGTACATAATCTTGGGTCATTAATGTAATATTGAGTCATTAATGTAATCTTGAGTCATTAATTATTACGCGATAAAAAAAAAAAAACCAACTTGCCAAGAGTAATAATTATTCATAATTATTCCTCGACTCGTTATAATTACAATAATTAACAATAATTAATTCAAATGCACTTTGACCTTGCTTTAATTTACGTGTTTTAATTTACTTGTTGAGTAAATCCATTTTTAAATTTAGTTGGTTAAATTAACATTTCATTTATTAACGAATTCCTTAATTTAAATTTTCCTTATAGAGATATAGATCGAACAAAACTTCTATTTTAACACAGGATATTAAGTTACATTATGGCAAAAAATAGAAAATTTATCGGAGTTTGAATGATTTGTCTTTGTTGCACAATTTTGCCTAAGAAACATATAAGAAAAATCTTAAGACACAATCTAAACACAATCTAATACAGTAATATTAACACCCCTACGAATGTTAATAATCGGGCTAGAAAATTATACCGGATCTTAATCCAGAAGAAGCACAAATTTACTTTGTGTGTTTGCAACAGGTTACACTAATAAAGGTGTTGAATATGATTATGTAATTAATCGCAATCCAGGCCCACATTTTGAAAAAAAATTTTATCATACCAAGTTTTCAATAGCTGAAAAAAGGAATCTATACTCATTTTTTGTTGTTTCAAATGTTTAGGTCATATATTTGTCGTATGATCAATCTTAGTCATTAAAAAACAAATTGAATCAATGAAATATGTTTTTTACATATAATAAAGTCGTCTGACGAAATTTTTTTACGTGGCTAAAAAAAAAAAAATTAATGGACGAATAAATAATCGAATCAATGAGTTAAATTTGTATGTGTATAATAAAGTTGTCTAACGAAAAAAAAACTTTTTTCGTGGCTAATTTACTATATAAATAACAAATCAACACAAAACTTTTGATTCGATAAATTACCTGTTCAATAACGAATAATGATAATGTATACTTCAATGATGACTTGATACTTCAATAATAATTTGATAATTTGTTACTTCAATGATAATTTGATCAATCATTATACCTTATTATGATTATGTAATAATGTAATAAAATTATAGCCCTAGCCCGAGATCGGATTTGTAATCATCTTAATTTGTCGAACAGACAAATAGGCAAAGAAATCTCGGACTGGTTGCATACTTTAAATCGAATGCATAAAATAACTATGTACGTACGGTAAATCATAAAAAATACCCCATTACTCATTCTCAACTTTGTCACGAGAAATTTTGGCCTTTGTTTTCATTAATTATTCAATCTCATGACTTCAATAACTAGTCATTATATGATTCATTATATGAATATAGAATACTACGCATAAGTTATTTGATGTCCACGCAAATCGAGTAAATTGAGTGAGTAAATGCTAGAAGCAATAAATTTAAAGAGAGGCAAATTGATGCATATGCATGATGTCATCTTACGTTAACAATTTAATGAATAAAGGTTCTCATTGGCTCAGCGATTTAACGCCAGATAATTAGGTAACTGTTTTTAGAAAATGTACCAATAAGTCATGAGAATATTATAAGTTAATAGATGCCCGCGGAAATTTGTAATAGATCGAAGCAAAAAAATTTTTTTTCATACATTGTTACCGTATCAAATGGAATTATCCTATTCTGTAATTTTTTTTTTTAATTATGAACTAATCGAAATTCTTATCTTTAAATTTCACGTTTATAAATGTTTTTTTTGATGGATTTTATTGATTTTATTGATTTTATTGATTTTATTGATTTATTGATTTATTGTTTTATTGATTTTTAATTGGTTCTTTCAAAACTTCTAAACTAGGTCAAAAGATTTCGATAGAATTTTTGGGATTAAATATTTGTTGAACTAAATTTTTTTTTTTTTTTTTTACTCTAGATACTTTAGGTACTCTAGAATCTCTTTATTTGTCAATAGATTGATCAAATGAACGTTATTCTTTATAACAAACAGGTTTATTTGGGGTTATTTTGGGTTATTTTAGTTTACTTTGGCTTATTTGTCTACGTTTCCTTATCTTCATATCACGCCGACTTGTATGTTTTCAAATGGGATTCATGTAGGTATAATGGCGCACTGTAGACCCTGAAGAAACTTATGGAAATAATATAGAAAGTAGTACAGGTGCATATGGTTACCATCGTTGACCATCGTTTAAAATTAGATTCTCAAATATTCTTTGTTTTAACATTCTGATTATACAAACTTTTTATAATGAATTTACTAATACAGTAAATTTCTTGGACCGTTTTGTCTAAATTAATCGATCTTTAAGCATTAAATAGATTAGAGAGAAGTATAATACAAGTATCGGGATCCGGGATCGCTTCACCATGGTCACGTGACATCGCTAAAATAATGAACAATCAGCGGGCTAAATAAACTTTCTTTTAAATTATATTAAATTATATTAAATAATAAAATATATAAAAAACTTATTTAGAATACAAAATTATATAAAAAGTTATATAAAAGTTATATACAAAGTTATATACAAAGTTATAGGAAACCATTTTTTACTGCATAGATTTTCCATGGGTACACGTTCATGTTTGGTAACGTTCCAAAAGAACTCTAACGGAGATTTTTTTTAACCATTTTAATAAATAAATAAATATTTATTTAAATATTTAAATATTTTATTTTATTCTATGCAAAACTTTGTTCAAGCTGTCCAAGATGCTTGTGATTATTCATGCGCGTACTAACTATACACCACCTTATTTTATCTAAAACTTTATCCGCATTTTTCTTAAATTATGCAATTTGATGTTTTGATTCTAGAGTAAAACTTTATCACAAATATGAAACTGATATAACCTAATTTGGTTTATTTTAAGGGTTTTTACCAAGTCATTACGATGAAAATTTAAAATTTTTCAATTGTAATCTTGTGATATTTTAAAGGGTTTAAGTTTATATATATAATTATTCTTTTATAAAAAAATAACTATGAAACAACTATGGGACAATTATGGAATAACTATAGGATAAGCAAATACATTAAATGTGTTTCAATTTATTGTTTCATCTCTTATCGACCATTTATAATTCGTGGATTTAGTATATTATGGTTTAAATTAGGGAGGACACACATCTGAGAGGGCATTCTAAAAAAAAAAAAAGGTCACTTTAATTTAAGAAATTCTCAACGCGAACAAAGCAAATACTTGAAAATCTTGCCGTATGAAACATATTCATTACGACAATGACTTGATATCATATATATATATATATATATATATATATATATTATCTATATATATATATTATCTATATATATTATATTATATATATATATATTTATATATTATATTATATTTATATATATACATACCGTATTTTCTTATTTTCTAATTATATTGCATTTACAATTTTTTTTTTAGGACTTGCCTTTAAATAAAATCATCAAGTTATTTGATTTATTCTTTGTGTGATATATTGTATAATTAATTATCGAGTTATTTGATTGATTCTTTGTATGTATATTGTATAATTAATTGAACCACCGCAATTTCGGATAAAAATGATCAAAGTATGAAGTAAGTACGATAGTTTCTGTAAATGTGCAAGCTATATATAATATACTGATTTGGGTTCAAAGAATATATGAATTTCACTGCAAATATTGCAAATCTATAAATACACTAATCGTCCATATATTTCATATATATTACATATATTCATAGTGAGATCTTTCTGCACTTGTATATAATGAATGTAAAAAGATAATATTATATCGGGATAGTCGGAAAAATCGTTTCCACTGGAAAATTTATTAACCCGTGCAAGATTTTATTCATTATAATTTTATTTTCATCAACAATGAGTAAAATGACATAAAATAGGAATAGATCGATCTGTTAATCATTATAACTAATATAACATCCGAAATATCAGGATATCAGGTTCATTAAGAACCAAATGGAAAATGGAATTCTGAACCAAGTGGAATTTCGATCAATTTAAAATAAAATATTCATTATCTAATTAGAAAAATGAATTTTGTTGTTGCATTAAAACATGTGCTCTATTAATCAACCAATCAAAATATCTAGAATAATCGAAAAGAAGAAAAATGATCTACAATGCAACCAATCAAATTCATAATTGGCATACGTTATTCCATTATGTTATTCATGTTATTACTGTATTATCTCTTACATCTATCCTTATATCTATCCTTATATCTATCCTTATATCTATCCTTATATCTATCCTTATATCTATCCTTATATCTATCCTTATATCTA